CCAAGTCAGAGGATCACAGGCTCAACAGTTTGCTTTCTAGCTGTGCAGTCTATCCCTTAGACAAGCCCTTGTTCTACGCTGTTCTAAAGGTGCCAAAATAACATTAATAATGCTTGGAAACATCACAGATGAACTCTCTTTGTATTTACAACCTAAGTGCCCCTGTGGGTTTATGCTTCAACTTATGCTTTATTAGTCAGGTTGTACTTAATTCTGTTTTGTTTATGTTTCTAACTTAAACAGAGCACACAGGATGCACTCTGTTCCCGTCAGGCTGTTTGTGCATCACCCACAGAAACCTCAGCCCCGTTATCAGCACAGAGCTTGGTTTGTAACAGTGCCAAGGCTCACTGCTCTAAGAACTGCATGACAAAACCCATGGCTTAAAAAAAAATCCCACTGTCTGCTAGAAAACTTAAGTTTCTTTGGCGACTTGGGTTTGTAAACTGGCTCAGGCTGGAAGCCACAGAAGTCACCCAGTCCAACCTCCCTCTCCAACAGGGTCCCCCAGAGCGTGATACTCCAGATTGCGTCTAGACATCTTTTGAATCTCCCCGGGGCTGGAGACTCCACAGCTTCTCTGGGCACCTCTGCTACTGCTCAATTTCGTCACCTGCTTTTAATGTTTGCGGGCTCCCTGCTGCAGCAGAGCGAGGCTTCGAGCACCCCGCGCTCGAGCGCCCGGGCCGCGGCTCTGCGGAGCCGGGCTGGGCTCGGCCCTGCCGGGGAGCTGCGGGGGCTTAGCGCGGCTTCCGCGGCGGCCGCCGGGGCTGCTCGGCCGGGCCAGGCCGCGCCGCGGCCGCTGCTCCTGCCCCGTTACCTTGCCCGCCTGCGTGGCGGCCGCCAGGCAGGGGTGCGTCCCGTCGTACCGGCCCAGCGCCACCATGCGGGGCAGGATCTTGTGGTTGAGCTTCAGCGTGAACACGGGCACCAACATGACGGGCGAGGGGCCGCGGGGCAGGGCGGGGAACGCCACAGGGAGCCGGTTCTGGCCGGGCCGCGGGGCCGCCGCCGGACGCGGATCCGCCGGCACCGGCACCGGCACCGCGCGCACGCGCAGGCGCCGCGTCAGCGGGAGGGGCGCGGCCCGAGGGGCGGCCGCGGGGGGGCGCTGTGGGGCCGGGCCGCGGGAGGCGGCGGCTCTGAGGGGGAGATGGGACGGGGGCAATGGGGAGATGGGACCGGGGCAATGGGGAGAGGGGACTGGGGCAATGGGGAGATGGGACCGGGGCAATGGGGAGATGGGACCGGGG